TGGGGTGCAGATGGATCCACGAGAAAAGGTTCAATCGTACGGAGGCGGGCCGGAAGGCCGCGTCGGAATGGCCAAAGGTTCAGAAGACCCGAGTGTTTGAGCAGCTTGACTTCTTCAAGGAGGCCGTCGGGCTCGGACGCATTCGAGACATTACCTTCATCAGCAACCCGGACGCTGAGGACTATGCCCTCACGTCCGATTACAATGAGGCTATGAACGGCTGCCTTCGACACCTTGCAAATGGGGACATCGACGATGGGACCCGCATCAAGGCGATCGACTCGATCGACCCGTCGGTCATGACATTGCTGGCTCACAGGTACGATGACGTGCACATGACACACAGCAATGCCAACCGGAAGGTTGTGTCGAAATTCCTTCATGCGGCGATCAACACGCAGCTGTTGGCCCAACGGATCAGGTACGCTCTCCCAGCTATCGGGAGAGTTGAGCCCTATGTGAAAGGTGAACCGGTGGATCCTGTGCTGTTTGGCTGGCCCACGTGCTTGAAGCTGGCCAAAGCACTCCACGAGTATGCTGCGATGGAGGAGAGGCCCGACTGGTCCCACGACCAGGAGGGCGAGGAGATCGACGCCGACGTGGCCGCCTGGATGAAAGTGGCTGAGGACGAGTCCTACAACGCCATGACCATCGAGATGCGGGGGGCCAAGGTCGACGAATCCGAGATCGTTCTCGAGGCCGTCGATAAGGGAGAAGAGAACTCCGACGACGAGCTAGACCGCGTCGAGATCGCCATGTCACAGTACATTGGCAACACGGCGGAACAGCACGGTTTGTCCATTGTGCCTGACGATGAGGACAAGGACAAGTGGCTCCTGCTGGGCGATGACACCCATGACTTTGGATGGGATGCAACGAACCTGCCCCCAGGAGTGCATCGCGCTGCGCCGGAAGGCCAGTCGATCATCATCGCGGAAGGAGACTTGTTCGATCAGGAAACGGTGGTATCGTTGGAGCTGGTGTCAGAAGCTGATGATTCCGAGGCGGCAGGGATGAGTTCCATGATCACCGCGGAGTCGGTCACTTTTGAGTCCGTGACGGAGGGCACCAGCACATCCAAGCAACCGCCAACCCCGCCGCCGCCAAGGCGCGGAGCTGCTGCCAAGAGCGCTGTGGGGGAACCCCAGTCGACTGGTTTTATTGAGATTGGAGATGAGTCGGACCCCACGGCTGCCGGTTCGGCCGACAAGCCCCAGGTGAAGGCGATGCCGAGGATTGCGAAGGCCAAGGCGCCGCCTGGCAACGCCGAGGGGGAACCCCGGTCGAAAAAGCAGAAAGACCCTAAGCAAGAGAAGATCTTCTGGGAAGACTGGGCGAAGACCCGGAAGATCAATACCAAGGTCCCGGCCGAGGAGCAGAGCGAGTGGCTCGAGGTCGATGACATGGGGCATGTCCCCAAGGTCAACATGGACCGAGACTACCGACTGGTAGCAATTTCCGGGGAGGGGCATTCAAGGACGGGAAGCCACACCCGCCGTTTCGCGGAATTGACCTGTCGGTGGAATTCGATGCTCTGGTCAGGCATCTGAACGACCGGATCGCCAACGTCATGCCTTGGGAGGTGATGATCTGCATCCGGAATAACAACACCCGCAGATTCCGCGTGATGGTTGGGCCCCCTCCATTGGGGGAAGCATCCTGGAAAGGATTGCCGTATCAGGCGTTGAGGGTGAGGGCCGTGCAAGGACACCACAACGAGCTCACCAGGAAATACACTGAGCAGGCGATCCTGACGAATTTGTATTCCTTCGACGAAGAGTTCACTGCGGCAAAGTACTTGGGCGGGCAATACCCGAGAGCGGTACGGCATCCCGAGCAGACGGATCTCTGGCGCAGGGGGTTCCCGGCTGTCCTCTACCACACCTGTGACCTCAGGTCGGCCGAGAGCATCCTCAAGTTCGGCCTGGTCCCGGGGGGCTATCCGAAGTCGACAGGCAGAGCCCACGTCTACTTCAACCCCACGCCACCCTGGGAGGCACAGATGAGGAAGCTGGCAGGAACGCGAGCCGGAAGGCCCGTCACGATTGCTTTCGATACGGAGCTTATGATGCAAGACGGCATTCGCCTCTTCACGAGCGATGAGGCGTTTATGTCTGCCGATTGGGTTGGAAATGCCTATATTATTTACGCTTTCCATACTCGCAAAAATGAGTTCCTCTATTTCAATCGTGCGTACCCTGAGCTTCGCAAAAGATATCGCGAAGCGTTGGCATCCGAGCTTGCGCCTGGCCCCCATGACGTCAATCCGAACTTCTTCACAAGTGAAAACACCCTGACCGCACAGAAGGCATGGAGGCATTGGCGGACCGTCGTTGAGGGGACGAAGAACGGCAAATTGCTTCCTGGTGCCGTGACTGAGATTGCCACGATCGATGAGCTCGCTCCCCGGAAGGGGAAGTCGAATGAAAGACCTGCAGGGCCGACATATCAGGTTGCGCCTGCAACCCTTCGACGGGTGCCCGAACTCTTCAGGGGAGAGAAAGGGTATGGTCGCGGCTGGAACAACCTCCGGAGCCGCTACCAGACCGAGCCAGATTGGGAGGACCTCTTCTTCACGACCATGATGAAGATCCCGGTTGTGAAGTGCTGGAACAAGAGGTGTGGCAACCAGCAGATCGACGGCTACCTTTTGTGTCAGGAATGCCGATCAGATATGGTCGAGTGGACGGATGCCCGGATCGCCACCGAGGTTGTGCGCCTTGAGCACACCGCATCCCTCCAAAACATGGTCTTCTACTTGGAAGACCTCCAGGGGGGCGGTGGGAAGTGGATCCGCTCCAAGCATCACTTCAAGGAAGGCGACAAGCGGGGAGGAATCTCCGTCGAGGCGTCACTTAGGAAGACGGCAAAGACGCATCTGACCAAGGCGCTGGCAATGGGCTGTGAGAAGGTGTCCGACCGGCTCTCGGTCGACCCGTTCTACGCCTATAATTGCGCTACGCAAGGGTTGACTCCTGAGAGCCTTGACTTCCTAGGCAGGATCGCCCGAGCGGTTGTTGCAGACCCTGGCCGCACACGGGAGGAACGCGATCGGGGAGGGTCTCAGAACACTGGCACGAAGTTGGTGTTCATTCCCAGCCCCAACAAGCGCGATCCCCACGAGTTGAACGTGTCAACGGAGGCTTTCATCGCGCACCATGCGAGATTCTACTCCATCATGCAGTTTGCGGTTATGTGTGCCTATCGTTTCATTCCGGGCAAGCAGGTGCCAATTATCATTGGGCACAGCGGATCCTACGTCCCGGAAGGGAGCGTCGAGAGGATTTTGGAGGTCATGATCAGTTTCATTCGTGCCTCCTGGATCAAGTACGACTCTCAGGGCACTATCAGCACCGGCGAGATGGAGATCCCGCAGTTTTCCTCCGGCCGGACCAGGACCTATCCTATCGAGGCGAAGAACACCCAGTGGAGGGCAATCACCCGGTCCATCCGCCCCGAGCCCTATGCCAAGGGAAAGGGCAAGGGCAAAGGCAAGAACAAGGGGCGCCAGGACTGGAGCTCTTGGTACGGGTGGTCCTCTGGATGGAATCAGGGCCCGTGGGGATGGTGAGCACCCGCACCAATCACAAAAGTTTAGCTTTTGTTGCGGTGAACATTTCAATTTTCATTGGTGATGTCATGTTCGAAAACTATTATCTTTCATCAATTGATGCCGCAACATTAGCTGTGCCAAGTTTGCACGCCCGGCGGAAGCTGCGGCCGTAGGTCTATCCACGGCCGCCACCACCGGCTGTCATTTCAGTTTCGCCCAGCGGGAGCTGTGGTCGTGAGATCACCTCCGTTTGAGGCAACAGTATGAATTCAGTTTCAAGCATTCACATGAAAATCACATGTGTTTTGCCCGACGGAAGTCGTGGTCGGCCGATTCGATTGGCATGCTCCTGCAAAAGTCCAAATGCATTGCAGTTGCAGCGGCCATTGATGCAAGAGGCCTCATATCACCATGGCTTGCCACCTATCCCACTGAGGCTCTACGTCTTCATTGTCTCGACCTCAGAGGACTTTGCTTCAGGCCTGGGGGGGGAAACATGTACAAAGTACTGTTCTCACCAACGCACCTCTGCAAAGCGGGGGGTGTTGATAGGTAATGGCGTACCGACATGATACTGGCTCAAGAAAAATAAGCTGCCGCCCGTGCTGACTTTTAGGTAGATCCCACCTTTCAACAGTGTCGATGGCCCCAAGCTACCCTACCCATTGACATGGACCTATCCTCCAACCCATGGACTGGTGACTGGAGGCTTCTAAGGGCTAGTTCGCTCTAAGCACCTTGCGGCGGGTTCCATATTAGCCAGGAGGGCGACCCAGTGTTCAACGGATTTCGGGCAGGATTCCCGGCCCCAAAATGGGGGACCAACTGAGCCAAAGGTGAATCCCCTATGCCTGGGGTTCGACCCCCATCAAAAGAATGGTTGACCCAATTTGAATGATGAGCATCCTTTGGTATACAAAGGTGGTTATATTGAACCGCCCTTGTAATGGTGGCAACTGAACCCCAGACCCATGGAACCAAGGGAAAAATTGGCAGTCAGTGTAGCCTGCCAAGAGTCTAGTTCCCTTGGCTATTCGGAAAATCCCATCCCTGAAGTTTTCTTGCCTCCACGTGTCCTGGTGAGCCTGAAACCGAGAGGTAGGAGCACTCGGCAGTTGTTGCAGAGGGCGCCCAGGTTGGGGGTGCCTTTTCGTTGAGGCTCGGTAATGTTAACCCCGGCTGAAGCAGAACCCCTGCTTGATTTTGATCGGGGGGTGAAGCCCCCCCCTAATACCTAGAGTCTCCATGACCCTTCAAAAATGGTTGGTCAATTACACAGAACCAAGGGGTCATGGACCAGTTTTTAAAGGGTCAGAAGGAGACTCCAGCTAGTTTCTTTCCTGCTGTTTTGTTCAAGGGTGGTTCCCTTGGTTACTATCCCGGTAAATGCATCCACTGGCACAAGGGACATTGGATCGCGCCTCGCGCCTCGCGTCTCGCCTCTCAGGGCTTTGTGGCACCGGAGCCGGTGCAGCGGAGGGCGGTGCTTTCCGCGGGCCTGCTGGGCACACTGGGCCCTTCTGGCTGAAACTGGCGTTGTTTTTTTTGTTGCTTTCGGGACCCCATGCCTTTGCTCTTGTTTTTTCATATATATTTTTTTCTTAAAGAAAAATGTGTCTCCAATCCGCTTCCTTTTGGTTTCCTTTTAGAACCATCCGAGGATACCCCCCAAAAACGACACGGCCAGTTTGTCTTTTTTTGAGCTTGCTGAATTTGCTGTTGATGGATTTATGTTGAATTTTGAGTCTGTTATTCGATGTTATTTGCTTTATTTGTATAGCCTGGAAGTGCTTACGGTATTTACATATGTTGGGTGTTTCTCACAATGCGCACGGTTCACTTTTATGTCCTTCTGAGCTTTTGTTCACAGATCTCGGCCATGTGCTCACATTATTTTGGGCCATATCAGCCTCCCACCCCACCCCATCCTTTCAAAGCCAACAAATCCCCAATCTCGCTCAAGCGAATCGAGCTTTTGACCTTTCGGTTTTGCCTTGCTGGCTCATGTCTAGTCACGGCCCCAAAAGGTCAAGCTGTTGGAGAAAGGCTTCAGGGCGTACGTCTTGGCGGAAAATCAGTGGCCGAACGCTGCCGGGGTTCCGCTGCCTCTCGCAACGGGTGCCTTCCAATGGCTCAGGGTTTGGACTTTTGGCTTTGGATTCTGAGCCGCCAGGAACGGCTCAGCACCACTCCAAGATACCAGGCGTGTTTAAAGATGGAAATCCACATGGCGTTCCTCTTGGAAGGAACCGCAGGCCCTTTCTGGGTTTAAAGGCCGGCTTCAAAGGCAGGGCAACAAAAAGCTGATGTGGACTTGCTATGTGAGGCATTCAAAGTGTCCCCCTCTCCGGCACTGAGGCCTTGCTAGATTTGTTCCTAGTTGTTTCTCTAGTAAACCCCTTGTAAATGCGTGTCGCTACAGGCCATCAGCGTTTCCGAGTTGGGCTAAAACTCTTGAGGGCCATGCGAGTGGACGGACAAACAGAAGGGTTCAGACTTGGCCAATCTCAAGTGAGTTGGCCAAACAAGATCTCAATTGTTTCTTTGTCGTTCGAGAAAAAAGCAGAGGCAAATAATATGAAGAACAAACAACACGCTAGTTTTGTCGATGCCTTTGTTGTTTTTTTCTTTGGGGCTTCCTCTTTCTGGTCAGCGGGCCTCCGTTTTCGCCTCCGTTTTCGCCTCCGTTTTGGTTCGGTGCCGAGGTGCCGCGGCTCCGGGCGCCCAGGCGGCGGACTTCTTCGGGCTGCCCTCGGTGCCGGGGCCCTTTGAGATGGACCCCAAGGACTCCGTGGTCATCGGCGCCGGGGCTCGGAGACGAGACGAGACGAGGGTTCCTGATTTTGCTTCGTTTTTTTTTGGGGGCGGGGGGCTCGGAGAGGAGTGAGTTTTTGTTTTCTGTTTTTTTCCTTCTTCTTCTTCTTCTGGGGGCTCAGAGATGAGCGACCAGTGAGTTGTTGTTTTCAGAGGGAGAGAGAAGCGCGAGAGGAAGGTAGAGATCAAGAGAACCCCTCTTTAAACATGGTTTTCCGGAGTGATCACAGAGAAGAAATCCTTGCCGCGTGTTTCCAGTTTGAAGCTCTGACTCCGGCCTCGCGACGCGAACGTTCGAGGCGATGCCAACGACCCGGCGGTCAAGGAAGCCCGTGGAAAGGCGCCTTGCGCCTTGCGGATGGCCGCCGGTTTTTCGGCGAGCAAACAGCCACGTCTCCTTTGGTCTCAAAGAGGGGATGCGCGTTGTTTTTCAAAGAGGGAACGCGGTTGCCAGGTGTTGTTTTCTTGTTGTTGCCAGGGATCTTCTTCACGCCTGGTGTTGGTTTCTCTCTTCTTTTCACGCGACAGGAGACGTTTCGAGGCACCCGCGCAACGAGGCACCCGCGAGCTTTGAGGTTTGGTGAAATGTACCAGTCTTTGGTCCTTTGACAGGGACGCAATTGCTGTGGATGGCTTTCTTTTCCGGTAGCTCCCTGTTTTGTTTCTTTGCTTTTTCGGGGTCCCCCTTTGTTATCCGCTAACCAGGCAAACATATAGCTTGTTGCTGGCATCCTCATTTCAGCCAAGCTTTGAGAGGCACATTCTGTGGATGGTTGTGAGTGGCAGGTCCTTCCAAGGCTGCCCTTGAGGTTGTTGAAGTTGCGGTTTCAGCGGGAGGGCAGCGATGAAACCTCACCCCGGAACTTCAGACATGCGCCCTAAAAGTGGACACTTAAGACTCATCCCGAAGCACTCTCACATCTCACCGACCATGGAATCCACCAGACAGTCCCAGTAGGAAAATGGTCTCCCCCTCTTCCACGTGCGAGTCTATGTTCAGTGGCACCCCTACTGTTTTGTTTGGTGCCAAGAAGCGTCAACCTCCCCAAAAAAGAGCGATACTTCCTTTCTTCTCTCTCGAAGGTTCACCAAAACCTATTTTGATGAGAAATTGTTGCTTTGGCGCCACCATAAACCTTATTCACCCCCTCCCCGCCCCCTTCCAAACACAAATTAACCTTCCCCCCCAAAAAAAAAACACAAAAAAGAGCAACGCCTCGGCTTGTTCCCGACGGGGTCACTCACCAAGAACGGCAAACTGGTTCGGAGGTGGAGTATCTGCTGAAGCAGGCGGAGGACGCCCTGGACAAGCTCGAGAAGGACCCCCAGGCGCACCTCATTTTGGGGGCGGGTCCGTGCCATGGGCGCATGCGGCCAACCCTGAAAGAACAAAGACCTTCAAGAAACAGGTTTCACACCGGGAGGGGGGGGGAGTTCGTCCCTCAAAATCAAGGAATTGCCTTTGAATCAACAGCGACCCGCTTTTTTTGTTTGGCGATGTTGTGAAGGGTTTTCGGGCTTCTTGGGAGTGTATCGGTGGATTGGAGGCGTTGATGTATGGGTTTGAAGGCTTTTATAGATGTTTCAGGGTTTTATTCGGGTTTTGGAATAATTATGGGGCTGACTTAGTTTTACAATGATGTATGTTCCACCAGGTCAATTGCAGGTCAATGTGGCAAACTGGGCTTCCGAACATGGATGGCGGTTGTCCTTTTGGGCATTCCGTTCGCCCACCAAACAAGGGGCGCCACAGCCCCCAAAGTGACACACCCAAAAAAAGTAGAGTGACCCAAGAAATTGGTTTCCGGCTGTCCTTTCACCTTTCCGTTGATCCACAAAACATGGGCTACGGCCCAAAAAAGACACACACCCTATTGGTGGCTCCCAGCCATCAGGTCCCTTAGCTTTTCAGCCTTTTAGTGTTTAGTGGTAGTTTCCATATTTCACCCACTAAAAGTGAGTCACTTTTGGCAAAACAAATCGGAAAACGAGCCCAGAGACCCCAAGTTCCGAGTTCCTGAAGCCCAGGTGGACCTGCAGTACATGTGCCAGGACTTCGGCATCGGCGAGCTGCGTCTGGCGCGCGCCAAACAAATGTGTTTTTCCGGAGCGGTTTGGGGGGAGGGCCGGGCAGCATCCAGGTGTTTCATTTTATTTTTTTTATTTTTATTTTTATTCAGAGGGAATCGATTTCACTACTGGACATATTGTATTTTTCCAGGGGCTCAAGCAAATGGAAGTAAGGGGCTCCGTTTTTTCTTTCTTTCTTTTTCCTTTTTTTTGCGGCGCAACCCGATGCGTCTCAGGGAAGTGAGCAACCCACCACAAGTAGGTGTACTTGTTAGTTTGGTTTGGCAACAACCATAGATGGCGATTCGTGGTGGACCTGGTTGTGTCATAAACAGGGGCCATCTATTTTCAACAAGACACCTATGCCACTTATGGCTTCCCGTCTTGGAGTTCACTCCCAATGTCCCGAAGCTGATTTCCTACTGACTGGCAAGAAAGCTGTGACGAACAAGTTAAACCTTGTGCGGGGGCAATAGTCAAATAGAAAATCGTGGAATGATGTAGTTGAGGCGTCAAATACGAATGTCTCCTCCAGTACTTTAGGCCCCTATTTGGAACGGGGGGGGGGGGGGCAAACCGCTTTTGAGTGGAGTTCTTGTTGGTTGAGCCCCTGGAAAATGGGCTCCTTGATCCTAAGTCGCTTTGGGGTATGGGGTGTACATCTATTGAGGGCCCCCTTGGTTGAGTGGCACCCGTTGTCCCTTGTTGTTTGGTGGGTTGCCCTCTGAGCATGAATGTCAAAGAGGGCAACCGCTTTTTTACCGCACTCCTTTTTGACTGTGTGGGGAAAAGGAAAGACATGCCAAGGGATGCTTCTTCGTCAAGACCCTTTCCCATAATTCAATTCAGCCTCCTGATGTCCGGGAGGGCATCAATTCGTGGGTCGGTAAGCTCTGAATATCTCTTGGGTCCGAGGCGAGTCAGAGTCATGAAGGAAAGATTCTCAAGGGCATGGTTGGGGTTGTTTGTTTGGAGCCGTGCCGGTTATATCCCACTTCTGGGCTAAATACTTTTGCCGATAGGGCTGCAGTAGTGTCATACAACCTAATCCCCGCAAAGCAACACCTCCAGACTCCAAACAACCTGCCTAGAAATTCCTTCAATTGGCAGTGCATCGAACTGCAGCAGCCTGTGGGCCTGTGTGGTGAAGGACCCTCTGCACTCCGATTCAGGTAACCCCCAAGCGGGGTGACCTTTAAACAAATAGTTTTATCAGTAAAGCGCCTTTCGACCACAATGGTATAGCTTGTTGCTCCCCGGCGAATTTAGCATGACTCTCGAAATTGCGAGGTTCCCCCCCTATGGGCATTCCTTTAAGAACGGAGTGTTTTGGGGAATCTGCAGGAGAGTACTCTCCCACCATTAAATGGAAGTGCACCGGCTTGTTTTCCTAAAGTAATCGTCCAAGTTCCTCCAAAACGTGTGCCTTTGGGGGGTCAAGGTGAATCAGGTGCTACGGCCCCTCTGTGCCTTGAGAGCCCTTTTTATTTTTCAACATATACCCCAGACATGTGCAGTCATTCGCAGTAAGGGCATGTTATGTATTTGTTTTTTCAGGTAGGTCAGGTGGGTCGCCCTGCCAGGCCACCAACACCATCAACGACATCATGGACGACAAGACGGCGGCGGCCACCCAGCGCTGGCAGCGGCTCATGATCCAGGCGACAACGCGCGAGCGCGAAAACGCGCCGCGAGCGCTTGAGCGCTGTGTGGCGAGTCTCGCGGGGTCTCGCGCCACCGAACTCAGAAGCCTGGCAAGAAGCCAGGGGCAGATTTTGTGGGGCTAAATGGGCACTTTGAATGGATGAAATCCGTTTCGCACCACCTAAGAAATGCTGAAACGATGGTTGCCCAACAAACAATCATTTCATCATGGTTTCCAAGAGGTGCGAAATGGATTTGTCCATCCACAGTAGGGGCTGCATAGGTAACCACCAGGGCTCAAAATTTGGACCACCCGGGAGTCCGGAGGGTAACCACCCCGTGACATGTTGCTCTGTTGTTGGTTTCAGGGTGGTTAAAAGGGTACCCGGGAAACAGAAATCAACCATATCTCATGCCACCTATGAGCCAGGAATTCCCTCTTAAGGAAGCTCTAAGGACTCAGGGTGCCAGGCACCATTGGCGCATTGGTGTGTATTGGGTTGGATCCACCACGGTTAATGAGTTGCTATGGGAATGAAACCATCACGTTTGTTGGTATTTGTAGGGGAATCGAATTCCAGGGTGGTGCGAGAAACGCATTTCGTCACAGTGGAGCTGTTTGAAAAAGGAAACCAAAAAGAAGGCGATGCCCATAATAGAGGGTTCCATGGCCTAAGGTTGGACAAAACAATGCGGGTGTCTTTGGCGGTCCTGACATCTCTTTTGGCATAAGTGTCAATTTTACTGGCATGTGATGTTGACAAGATTCAGGAGATGATGGGAAACCATATGTGTGACTGGGCTGTAAGAGGCGTGAAACACGTTCCATGTTTTTGGCCTTGGGGGTCTTCTTGAAGGAGGGATTGAAGGTACATCCATCCCGGCCATTACATCTTAAGCACTGACTGCGCAGCTTTCTAAGCCCCACAGAAAAACGAGTCAACTACCACCGTTTCACCATCAAAGTATGTATATACACATATATATATATATATCATATGCTACCCCTCCCCCTGAAATGGAAACAGGTGGGTTTTGAGGGGGGGTACCACATTTGTATGAGGGTGACCCCGGTTCGATTGTCAATGGGCGCGGTTCTTTTAGCATTGAATTGAATTTTACAGAATTGTTATTCGGTTCTGGTCGGTTCGGTTCCTAGGATTGTGTCGGTTCGGGCCCTAAACACTTTCGATTCCCACCGAATCGGGCAACAGTGTCACTACTGAAAGCCGCTCCATTTCCTGACACTAACTACCATTCACTCGCCTTCCGTACCAAGATCTATCAATATAACATGATATAATATTTATGAATGTAGCACTAAATATAGTATTAATATATTATATGTTTCAGACCTGTTTCAGACCTTCCTCAGGCCGCCAGGCCACAATTCTGAATTTCAGGCCCATACCAAAAATCCAAAGCAGATGTCCGCAGTCCGGGCCTGGCTGTGTGAGATGGGACGGCGCCCTCCCCCGAATCTGATTTCAATTCTGTCAAGGGGCCCAAACAGCATGGCACGTCCGGAAAAGTCCGGAAAAAGTCCGGAAACAACTTGGAGTGCGCCGGCTCGGGGTGCCCGGAATGTTAACAAGCAGCCCCAAGTCCTTTTTCTCGATGTGCCTGATTTGCGGGAGCTCGTCTGACCCAGATTGGTCTGAAACCAGTCTCAAACATCGAAAACGATCCCCCCAACTCCTGCTGCTCGCCTGCCTTGAGAAGGTTCAAAACGTGGTAAGAGCCAAGTTTGAAAGAATCCCCCCCCCCCCGGAAGTGTCAGGATCCCCGGAAAATTGGAACAATTTCCGGGGATGGGAAGAAGCATTTCTAAGGAAGGGAAAGGCGTGATAGGATAGGGGTCAGACCAAATCGCTTTCCAGGAAGTCTTGGAAAGAGGGTTGCTAGACACTTAAGTGCTGCGCGACACTGCAAAAACGGTTGATACACCCAGGTTCCACCCTGGCTCCTCTTGGCGCCTGACTGGCCGACCCAAAGCAGATGGCCGCAGCCTAGGCCTCGCAGCATGAGATGGGACGGCGCCTCTGTCCAAGACTTTCTCCTCCTTCCCATCTCCGGGTTTGCAATTTGTCCGTCCCTGCGCGGGCGTTCTCAATGCAGGCGCAGGGGTTGGGGGGATCATTTCCGATGATTCAGACTGGTTTCAGACCTGGTTCAGACCAGTCCAGACGCCTTTTGGAGAGTCCCGCAAACCAGGCACATCGCGAACTGGGCCTGCTTGTTAATACAACCCCAAGGCGCGCTCCAAGTTGTTTCCGGAGTTTTCCAGACTTTTCTGAACGTGCCATGCTGTTTGGAGCCCCTGACAGAATTGAAATCAGATTCGGCGGCGTGCCGTCCCATCTCAGGCTCCAAACAGCATGGCACGTCCGGAAAAGTCCGGAAAAAGTCCGGAAACAACTTGGAGTGCCGGCTCGGGGTGCCCGGAATGTAAACAAGCAGGTCCAAGTCCTTTCTTTCGATGTGCCTGATTTGCGGGGGCTTTTCTTCCCACAGCGTCTGAACCGGTCTGAACCGGTCTGACCCAGGTCTGAAACCAGTCTGAAACATTGAAAACGATCCCCCCAACTCCTGCTGCTCGCCTGCCTTGAGAAGGTTCAAAGCGTGGTAAGAGCCAATTCCCCCCCCGCAAAGGATCCCCGGAAAATTCAATCAATCTCCGGGGATGGGAAGGAGGATTTCTGAGGAAGGGAAGGGCCTGAAAGGCGTCTGAACTGGTCTGAAACCAGTCTGAAACATCGGAAATGATCACCCCAACTCCTGCTGCTCGCCAGAAGGTTCAAAACGTGTTAATTAAGCCAAGTTTGAAAGGTCCCCCCCCCCCCCCCGGCACAGGGAAGTGTCAGGATCCCCGGAAAAATTTGAACAATTTCCAGGGATGTGGAAGGAGGATTTCTAAGGAAGGGCAAGTCTTAAAAAATGTTGCTAGTCCGTGTCTGAAACTCAAGCAAAAGAAGCCGGCGGTGTCTACCCCCGGAAAATTTGGAAGAATTTCTGGGGATGGGAAGGAGGAGGCCAAAGGAAGGGAAGGGCGTGGGACACGGGAAAAAGTTGCGCAGAGGCCTTTCTGGCGTGAGCAAAGCCATGTCAATCTCAATCTTAAATTTGCGTAACGTTCCCGGTTCAAGAGAGGTTCGGTTCTTGCATTGGTCGATTCTTAGTACCAGCTGTTATGCACAAGTTTGGTTCTACACGGTTCGGTCCCGGAGCGATTCAAAGCGATTCGATTCTGAAAGGGCTCCGATTGCGGTTCTTGATTCGATTCTATGCCTCCCTGATATATAAAGGTATATATATATAGATTTATTTATATCCGTGTTCCCTCCTAGTAGCGACCAATGGCCGTGCGTTGCTTGCAGGCCAAGTACCAGTGGGAGGATGACATGCCCTTCCCCACCACCAAGCCGCTTTTTCGGCAAGCGGAACAGGAGGGGAGGGGTGGGTTGCTAGCAGCATCCCCTCCCACCAACTAACATGGAAGTGCAAAAAGGCCCTTTCCAAGAGGAGAGTAGTCTTCTACAGGGGTCTGTGCACTTCCATGTTAGCTGGTGGGAAGGTACATGTTGGCCACATTGATTCTTGATCCATGGCCCACCTACCTCAAGAGAGGCCGATTCTGAGAAGCAACGGATTTCTTTCGAGACACCTTGCCCTTTTTGTTTTTTGTTTTTTTTCTTTTCTTCCGGGGCTTCAACATGAGTGCTTCCAAAGCGATGGAGTGTAAGGGAAAATCCACCATTTTGGGGGTTGCCCCATTTTGACACACACACACACATCGAAATCTCTGACTCACGAAGGGATCCTCCAAAGGGTTTTTCAATGTTGGGCCATAGATCCCTCCCCGACGGATGCAAATGCACAGAAGTACCTTTTTGGTGGCCCTCGAAAACCCACCATGTCCACCTCTCGCGTTCGCATCAGGTCATGGTCATGGTGAGACCTAAAGATCGAACACCACCAATAAAAGGGACACCCACAAGAGCCAGGATTCAAGGCCTCCCTGGATGAGCCCACAAGCCCTGGCGCCACGGCTTTTAGGTTCCCCCCCAATTTGTGTTTGGATTGGTTTGGGGATTTGAGCCCCTGGCTTTTGTAGAGGGCGGGGAAACCATCACTAACACCTTCAAACCACCGGGCTGGGCAAGTTGCATAGCTCAAGGTCTCGCATGCGATGGTCCGTCTTTCAGATTGCAGATCAATTTGTCCAGATGTGGGTCTTGAAACAGAAATGGCCCGCCTCACAAGTCGACACAAACCACCCCGTGAGACGGGTCCCAATTCACTCTGGGGGGCCTTAACGGGGCCTGCGAGAACAGTTGGTTTGTTCCTGAAATCGCATTGGGGGCGATGGGCAGCCCATGGTCGCTATCAAGTTGCATTGGTCCTGGATCAAAGCGGCAAAACTGGAATAAAGGTTCAATGAATATGGAGCAGTGGAGCAGAATCTCTGTGTTTGAGGATGGACAAAAGGTCACAAAGAAAAGTGAATCCCTGTGGGACGAAACTTGGTTCTTGCTCCTCTTTGGTTGAAGCAACTTTTGGGAAAGGGCTGGGTTTCTCTTGGGGTGGTTGACATTTGTTTAGGTTGGAAATCTGACAGGGGCGCCCAGACTGACTCAAAAAAATACCAGGTCACAAGGGCAAAATGGTGGCAAACTGTTTCCCTTCCTTGCTTTTTCCAGGGGCCAAAATTCCGGCCACATTACTTCACCATTCTCAAAGTCACCCCTGAATGGCAGGCTGAAGGGAAGCAACCTCAGTTTCTGAGTTTGATATCCTCCCCCAGAAACCGTGAAAATAATGAGCCCAGCCAGGGTGTCTGTGTTATCCGAGTCGCTGGTTGCAAAGGGGTTTTGGGTCAAACATCTAGCCTCACTTCCCCAAAACCCAGCTTTCTACCTTTTGGTCGCCGAGGGTGATCCACTCTTAGTGAGGGTAGCCTTTTTCCACGCTCACTCCCTGAGTTCATGGACTGGAAACTTGTTGGGCTCCATTTTAGCGGCTCAGACAGAAAGTTTGGGAGAAACTTTTTGGGGGTGGCCCCCGTCCCCCACCCTCCCACCGCAGGCTGTCGGTCCGGTCAACTCTCTGAGGCGCGGCGAGCAGAGGCCCCGCGGAGACAAGCGAAACGACCGGATCAAGGCGTCCCTCAAGAACTACATCAAGGCGTCCAAGGCCGGTTCGGTTCTTTGTTGGCTTTTTGGCTCCCAAAATGATCGTTCTTGGGAAAATATCATTGAACATATCATTGAATATCTTTCTTGGGAAAATCCTCCAAGATCCTTACCTCACAAAAGCCCAAAGCGAATCGACCTGTTGACCTGTCCCTGGCCGCAAAGGGGTTCTTTGGGCAACTGAGTTACCCTCGGTGGGCAATGACTTGGTCCCCTTGGTTTCCAATAGGGATTATGGAGAACGGCAGTGGGCCGGGGTCTTGCTCTATTTTCTCGAGGGTTGGTTTGAACAGCACCTTGCCAGTTTGATTTGCGAGCTGCATTTGGGCGGGATGTTGTTTAAGGGGTAAGCATAGGGAACCTGGCTGGAGCGGCGGTTTTGGAAAGTGTTGTTTCTGCCGAGCTGCTGAATCAGCAACCCCCTCAAAGGCCTGAACCAGCAAACCTCTCAACTGAACAAAGCAAGTGAGAGACCCTCAAAAACGTGGAACTGAGACCCATCTTCCGAGGCACGGTGGTCTCCAAACCAGGGGGGTTGTGCACTTGAATGTTTGTTTGTGAGAGGGTGAGAGGACAAGCCTTGAATGAAACCTTCCTGAACGGATAGACAGCCATGGTCACCCTCCATAGACCCCAGACACAGTTTTCTGAGTGAAACCCTTCGTTTTGCAAGGATCCCCCGTTGCGTGAAAGTGGCTGGGTTTTGTTTGGGGGTGTTCTTACGGGTGGGTATGGGGTTGTTTTCGGGTTGAGAGGGCTCACTCAGGAACTGCTGCAGTTCTTCTGAGCTGGGCATTCGTGCAGAACAGCCTTTCTAGCGCTATGGCCTTTGACGATAGCCTCAGGAGGCTCAGAGTCTCTTGAATGCTTGCGTGCGCGAAACAGGTACAACTCATGTTGCGACATGAAGCGGAGGTAGTGCAACCAGGCCAGTTTTCAGGATACGCCGCAAGCGCCGTTGAGCGTGGCTCTCCGAAAGAGCGCCTCTCTCTTTTTCGGCACCAGAATCTTCGAAATTTTCAGGCCGAGGGACGCACCCAACGTGTTACAACTCACGCGGCCCATTTTCGTCTTTCAACGGGTGTGGCCCTCATATGACCCATTCGGATGGATGCGGAGCGAGCTTTCGGGCCAAAACGGTGTGGTGTCTGACGGTTTCGATGCGACGATGCCCCTCCGCAAAACTGCGGAGCGCTCAAATCACAGCGACCTTAGAAAGGGCACCTTGTAAGGCCTGACTTTGGGTCAATGATGTCTTTGAAACTTTCTCAAACTAACGCTCCTGCGTATTTGCTGTTGGTTGATTCTCTTTCTTCTTCTTGACAGGGAAATGGTCTTGACTGACATTTGCATCCCTGGGAGGTACCTGACAGAAAGCCATGAGCAGATTTTATTGAGCTAAATGAACGGTACTTTGAATGGATGAAATCCTGCACCACCTAAGAAACGCTGAAATGATGGTTTCCCTGTTAATGGTTTCATATGGTGTGGTGCAGGATTTTGTCCATCCACAGTAGGAACCGCTTCTTGTGCACTTGGCCAAAGCAGAATCTGGGTTCAGAAGATTTTATCAGGCGCTGTCAGGTGGGCCGTTGTGGATGGACGAAATCCATTTCGCACCTAAGAAACCATGGTTGAAACCATAAAGCTTGTTGATATTTACATTGGGACTCATAATTCAATGTGTGTGTGTGTTTTTTAGGAGGTGCGAAACGGTTTTCATCCATCCACAGTATGGCACATGTTTGTCGAGGTACAGCCTTTAGGGTACGACCAAGCCGTAAATGAGATAGTTGCCTCAAGAGTTGACGATACGCAAAAGCAAGCTGGGTATTTTTCCGTCTACCGGGCGAAGCCAGGGCGGACCAGCTTCGGCGCCAATCCCGATATATCCCGATTGAAAACTAAGAGAGTCCGGTCTCAGTTTCCATTGGGCTGCCCAATTCTGGAGCAGGCGTTGCTAGTTCGGTTGGCCATGAGGTTTCATGCCCCGAGGTCATTGAACCGTATGGTCGAAATCCCTCTGCTCTACTTGGGGTAATTAAATGGAGATGAGACGGATGCAGACAACAATTGCGCAGTCCATGACTTTCATAAGAAGTTGTTTTATTTTGTCACGAATGATGTAGCATTCATGGGCCTCATAGCGGCATAGCGTTTGATGCTCGTGTGTTGAGGATGGCAGTTGTGCGTGTGTGTGTGTGTGACTACTTCATTCAGCATCCTCGGCAGGAGATGAGGCTGTGTGTGCAAGACATGTTGCCCGCTTCCCACCAACCAGTTTCCGTTTCCTTTCGGTGTTCTTTCACTGTCCTTTGGCATTGGCTTTCGCTTGCCTCATGATTGTTTTTGTGGTCACTTTCCAAAACGGACCAGCCATTCTTTCTGCCTATTTTTTATGGCCAGCTCGCCTGGGTCACATGATGAAGGCCCTTCACTTGCGGATCCTTTACTTGAGGCTTTGCAAATGCACAACGTGCAGACGCTTTGTGCCTGCCGTTGCCAGCATCAGAGCACGGACTCACCGCGACTCCGTGCGTTCGACTCCCCTCGACTCCCACATGGCCTGTGTCGACTTGCTGCCCGGGGCTGCGAAGAAGGTGGTCGATGAGCTCAGGGCACTGGGGCTAGATAAGCTGCTCGCCAGCGCGGACCCCTCTGAAAGGGTTGGTCTTTCCCAGCTTTATCACTTTTCTTGCCCACTTCTTGAGGTCACGGACAATAAAGACTTTTCAGGAAGAGCGTTTTAGTGGTAAGCAAAGGGTTCAGCCTAGAAACTGCAAACAATCGGTGCTGTGGGTGCCCCTTCCTCCCAACTGGAGGTCTGGGCAAGACCAACGAAGGTTCTCTATCCCGTGATAGTCTTCGTAGGGGGTAGGGTATCTGATGTTTTCGAGCAAATAGCCACAGAGCTGCCCTTCCCCAATAAAGGCCGTTTCCACCACTGACTTTGGTTAGCGCGCAAACCGCATAGCAGCCAACAACCGAAAGCCGGGGGTGTTTTCTCCACAACACATCCAAAGGCACCATCCTCCTGTCCGTTTTGAAGCGCCCATTGAATGTTTCCTGGACCTTCCATTGAAACCCTTTTTGCTGCTCGCCTGTTGTTTCTGCCCGAACACACAGTTTGCGCCCGATTCTTCAATTTCTGCAACTGAGCACTTTTCAAATGCGCGCTCATTTGCAGGTAGTTGCGCTCGTTTCGCGGGCTGTTGCAGGCGTTTTTGCACACAATTTTTGCTCGAGTAGGTCATATTAGGCCCCGACAGCCCCCATGCCTTCGAACACTGCTCGAGGTCCAAAAAGAGGACACGCCAGGAAAAACAGGCACGAATTCCAACAACCAGCAAATTGACAAGGGGGAGGCAGAAATTTCAGTTACGCTGGGAGGTCCAGGTTCTTGGGTTCTGAGGGCTTCTGATGGTGGACTTCCTGTTGTGTTCAAGGCCAACCGTCCTTAGCAACTGATGGCTCCTTCAGGTTCAACATAGGGCTGCTAGGTCTCAAGCTGTAGGCTGGTTCACTTGCCCTCCATCGTGGTCTGTGGAGACACTTCTGCTGGGAAGTCCAGCCTCCTGACGGCCATCAGCGGCCTGGAGTTCCCCTCGAACGCGGGCCTCACCACACGATGCCCCACGGAGGTTGTGCTTTCGCAGTCGGAGAAGAGAGGCTCAGCCGAATGGGAGCCAAACTCATTGATTTTATGTGCAGTGAGGAGCCCACGGCCCCAGACACCACCATCCACCCACCCTACCAAAAGACCCCTATATTCTTGGTTTTCAACCAACTTTGTAGGCTATCATGGTTATATCTGGGGTATCTGGGGGTAGTTGGCTCATGACCATGGAAATAGCGCATAACCTACTTACTAAGTTGGCTGAACATCCACGTAGGCCTGATTTGCCAAAACCTTGCTTTCTTGAAGGTTGGGTCTTGATCTAAGTTGTGGGACTCCTTCCAGGCTGATCCCAAAGCCAAAGCCCGGATGCAACGAACAGCCTCAGAGGGCTCTTTATCCGATTCCTCAGCAGTTCCATACATAGCAGCAGCCCCCAACCACTGCTTTTTGAGCTTGGGATTTCGGACGTGGGAAACAGCAGTTGTTAGGGGTTGCCATGGTTTTGCCTTGAAAACCCACTAATACAATAAAAGAAGGAGACACCCGCACACATGTGGACTTTGGCTTTCCAAGGAACCGCAGAGGTGAGCCTTCGATGGTTTGAGGGCATGACGGACGAGCAGCGCGGCTTCCGCCGCGTTTTGAAGGAAGACCGGTCAGACTTTGGAGAGGCCGGGCCCAGTCGCGGGAAGCATTCCTCTGTTTCAATAAGGAACCCCTTGAAAGAGTCCACCCAAGGGTGCCTCTGCCGTTTGGTTCCATGTTCATCTGCAGGAAACTGGGTTTACATGAAGCCGCCAAGTTCATGGCGAGCTGCGTCAAAGTGTCAAAGTATGATGCAGCTTTTTTACTTGCAGGATCCCGAAGTTCAGGTTTTGGAACTATGGTAAAACAAATTCCAGAGTTTGGCACAGTTGAAAGTCCACCTAAAAGTGGCTCCGTGTTCACGGGTCTCTCAGCCAAGCACAGGGCACTCGCAGATCACTATGAGGGTGGACGTGACATTTGCAGATGTTGTTCAACTGTTTGCTGTCAAGGCTGCTTGTCTGGCGTCGATTAAGTGGACCACGGCTCATACAGGATTGAGTTGATTGATTGCATGGAAGTTGCTGGATTGTATTTGCAAGCGGCAAATATGAATGCCATGGAGGTTGCACTTTCAGTTTGACAAGATGCAGCGAAATCAAAGATTACTTTTATCCGCTTTTAGGGCACAGGCAAATGTTTGTCAAGCCTCGGGTCAAAAGCTAAACGTTGTGTAAAAAAGCACCAGCCCATATGTTTTAGTTGTCCCAAGACCACGCCAAAAGGAGATGGGCAGTTTTCAACTTTTGACGACCTCCATATCCATACTGTGGATGGTTTGCAATCCATTGCGCACAACTTTGAAACCATGGTTGAAAACATTGTTTGTTGGTATTTACAGGCGAATGATCATTCCAGGGTTTCATAGGTAGTGAAGGATTTGGTCCATCCACAGTATCTCTTCTTTGTCCCAAAAGGAGTCCAAAGGGCATTTGCAATTGCTTTGATTTTCTTGAGACCTATTCAATTCACCGCCCAGCATCTTGACTGCTATTGGGTTGGATGATTTGGGAAATCAACCGGTTTTCCACTAAACCCCCAAAAGTTAAACTTTTTGCAGGAGGGTCAACAGCAACCAAGGCATAAGCTGCAACTTCTGGGAAATTGGTTTCGCTCACGTTAGCTCAGGCAGTCTCCGCGGCCACAGAGGTTCTCACACGAGGCCAGCCCAAAAATTACATCACCGCCAACGCTATCGTCGCCAAGGCAGGGGGGGAGGGGGCAGTGGCCGCACACTTGGATTCACTGGGATCTCGTTTTAAATGATTTTGCAGTGGAAGGTTCAATCAATCTTGTTGATTATTTACACGCTGACGCGACACAGCCGGCCACCGGGCACCTTGCCCTGCCCGTTCTGTCACTTCCCTTTCCGGTAAGTCCGATGAGTAGATGTTAAGATTTAGAAATTCTAAAAACTTTGAGATTCTAAGGGTCTCAGATTTGAAGACTTTTGGAATTTCAGGTTTGGTTTAAGAATTAAGGTTTTAAGATTCAAAGATTTAAGGTTTTTGAAGGTTATAACAGCCAGGCCATTGCCCAGCCATTTTCCATCCATTATCAGATTCCGAAGGCTTTAAATTTTTTGTGAGATTTTCAGATTTGGCGACTTTCGGAATTTAAGATTTTAAGATCTTAAGATGTCAAGACTTCAAAATTTCAAGATTAAGAGTTTAAGGAATTTAGAATA